GAAATATTTGATTAGAAAAACAACGAGCATACTTTAAATTTGAAAACATCAATAAATAAGGTTTATTAGACCTAATACTTGAAGGTAACATGAATAAACTTAAATATGAACTGTATTAAACTTACCACTGTTTTCAAGTTGTTTTTCAGTTTTTTCTGTGTACTGTGTAATACATAATTAATAAGAATATTGAAAACCACTTTATTTAAATATACTTTTGTCAAATATATAGTTTGATCAGATACTTTATGAGACTTTTTTAATTCACATTTATAAGAGCCCAATAAAATGTAAACAAAAAAAAAAAAAATCGTCAAAAAAGCTAACTTACAATCTTTTGAGCTTTAAATATTTTATTAAAAAGTGGACAAAAAGTCGAAGTTAATGATTTTTTTATACTCAGACAGAGTGAAATATGACCTTGTCTATTGCTCATAATTTTAAATCATAAAAAAATAACAATAAAATCAACTAACTTCCTAGTCAATTTATGATCTAATGAGATAACGCATTACATTTTTGGCACAATATAACTATCAGAAGATATATTTTTGAATTACATCATCAAGAAGTAAAAGGTGTTACTGCTTATTATATATAAAGATAGGTTCATTTATATTTAGGAGAAGAAGGTTGATTAGTATCACAGCGTAATATATCTAACAGTGGGAGTTGGTAAATTGGGTCCTATATAATCTTTTCTAGGTAAATTGGGTCCCGGGAAAATAAAGGCAGTAGGTAAGTTGGGTCACGGGGAAAAAAGGTAGTAGGTAAGTTGGGTCCCGGGGAAAAAAAGGTAGTAGATTAAGTCCAAGGTAAACAATTTTTTTTTAAATATCTAATAATTTTTATTAGAAGTCAATTTTAATATTTTTGTATTTTTTATTAAATTTTTAGTAAAAACTTAAAAGATACAAATTTAACAAACTCAAATCAACGAACAGTACGCAATGCATGTTACGAAAAATATAGTGAAAATGCTCAGATTTTATACACTCGTGTTTGTGTGAATTCATAAGAATCAATATTGGTGTTAACTGATAACTGACACACAATATGCGACAAACTAATGTGCGTATATGCCTATATAGGTATCTTAATTAGACATAATCAAATTTACGACGTTACGAAGTTATTTGATCACAATATAATCGATAACCGATAACAGCAGTGTGAATTGTAATTTGTAAAACGACTACGGCCAAGTAGTATAGTTAGTATTTGGGACTCAATTTACCTACTACCTTTATTTCCGCGGAATTCAACTTACCTAATATTTTCTTTTTCCCGGAACTCAATTTACCGCATTCAAAATGTACACAAAATATCGTGAACCCAATTTACCTAGCCCCCTAAAGGTACGGCCCCACTGGGAGCGATTCTGCGATTCTGCGTTTCGAGCGTTTCTGCGATTTTACACGCGCGATGTCCTCTAGCGATTTTGATAGGGACACTTTAGCGATTTTACATGCGTTTCTGCATTTTTAGTTGCGCGTGTTCGTGTATTTTTCATTTGTTTATTCGATCCTCGACTAAGATGACGTCCAGAAAAATTTTGCTGGCTGAAAGTGCTGTTTTAATTGATATTTAAAAGATTATTATTATTATTTTATTGCTTATAATTCTTTGAACATTCTGACAATTAATGAAGGTATCCACTCTCCCATCAGTATAATATTATAATTTATAACACTTTTCAGTTTTATAACATTCGATCTAAGAAATACTGTTTTTTTAATAAAAAGTACTTACAACAGATGCATAACAGTAATTATTGTCATTTGTTGTCAATATTTATCTAATTTTGCAGCTCTAATTTCTTTAAAATTATATGTCACCCCAAAGTAATGCAATACTTGTACTCTAGTTAAGAGACTCAGTATACTTATTAGTTATTAGCTAATATACTATATTATACTATGATACTATATTAGCTAATATATCAAAATATATAATATTAATTAATTAAATTACCATTCATGTCAAGATCCTTTCTAATGTTGGACCAACATTTTTGAATCTTAGTCCTATTACTGTGGTCCGGGTATCTAGGATTCCAAATAGCTTCCTGTACGAAGACAGCGGCAGCTATTTGTTCGGACACAACCGACGCGGAAGACATTTTGGCAGCGATTAATCGCCGAATATCAAACTATTTTGTTCTTTCAGCGATTACCGCGCGTGTAAAGCTACACGCGCACGCGGCACGCGCTCAGTGGGGCCACTACATATTAGTTACATACTTTTGTTAAAATCGCTAAAACGCAAATCGCTCCCAGTGGGGCCGCACCTTAAGAGTATGTAGCTTATCGTTAATAACCTTTCTATTAAAATATTACAAATCTAATTGTATGAATAAGTTATTTAAGGTAACGAGGTATATAATCTTTAAGGTATTTTTTTTAATTTCTTGGATTTTAATAGTGTTCTTTAAGTCTTCTGTTATATTGAAATAATTTTTTATTACATTTCTTAATATTTAAGATTATATTCTTCAATTTAAGTGAAGGAATATTTATCGTCAGTTGTTTCTTCTTTTTTTTATACCCTTAATCATTTAGTATTCAGTATAATATCACATTGTGTAGTGTGCAATAGTTAACGAATATTGTAATTTTCACAATTTTTTATTTATTTCACAGTAAAAGCTAAATAAGATTCTTGGTATGAATACACTTCCAACATCAAAAGTTATTAGTGCGTATATTTATTTTTTTAATTTTCTAAAAGGCAGATAAGAATAAAATAATTTTATTAATTTGGCAATACAAGAGGTAAAATATTTAATAATAATAATTACGCTTAATTCTACCCAAAGTTGAGTATTTCGTAATATAATAAATAACAAATTAATGTACTTACAATTATTATGTACAGAATTTTCTAAATTTAATGCTAAGCTAAAGCTGTGAAAGTTATTTTTATGACGTTCTTACGTTTACTTTAACATAGAGTCAGATAAATTGTATATAATTCTTAGATATATATATATATATATATTCACCCACTTATAAAGAGTGCCCCACAAAGACTGCTTAATTTATATCTTTGGACTTCATGGTAAATCTTAAATACTTAAGTTAGAATATAATAAATGCCAACGATTCAATTTTATTATTAATAAATATACTTGTAATTTAAAAAAATATACTATGTTACATTTTAACAAGCCTAAGCATAAGCGAGTTATTACTCGTATGTTAAAAGTTAAATTAATTTACCAGTTATGAAATAAATTAAAAGTTAAGTTAATTTAACTTATTTCATAACTGGTAAATTAACTTAACTTATTAACGTAACTCATTTACTAATAATAGGGGTACCGCCGGTCACGAGAAACGTACTCAACCGTCTTAAGTATATCGAGTAAAAATAGCCATGCCACCCATGAATTACATTATTATTGTCATGAAAAGTGGCCATAAATCTATATTACATAAATAGGCATATATTATCATTGATTATGGAATACAACTATTATTATTCTTTAATCGATAATATTATTAAATAAGATTGATATCATTAAATATTATTGATTAAGAGAAAAAATTCAATAGTTGATAACAATTTTGATATGACTATTATATTGAGATTCAATAGATATTATGATTAACCTGTCCATTGTATTGTTTTATTTATTCTGATTTTAATAAAGTTAAATAATATTATATATTTATTTTAATGTTTTGTATTTACTGTATACATTTAGTGTCTGTATAATTTTATAGTTACACTGGTGCCAGTGTAGCGTGCGATCTATCGCTTACATGTGCTCTACCTGTGATCTATCTATTACTATCCAGTTCTTTATCGGTAATTTATCGTTAATGACCACTTAACAGGTGCGCACACACAGGTTGTTGAAAGGTTATGGTTGGATGCAAATATATTCATATTAAAAAAAAAGAGAGGCGTACATATGCTTCAGTCACATTTAGATCTGTATTGTTGGTAGATGTATCGGAAAAGTAAACCAGATTTGTTCATTGCTTTTTTAGATGATATGTGTGCTATATTCATAAATAGCGACTAAAACGAAACTTTTATTTTAAATATTTATTTAACGAAACTTATATTATGTGAATGTGATTTTGAAATTGTGATTTTTGAAATACGGGTGAGCCCACCGCCTCGTGGTGTATTGGTAATGCTAAGCGGCTCACAAATCGCGTTCACCAAAAACAGGCTGGTAGATCGCACTCTACACCAGAAACTAACTGGTAGATCGCACGCTAAACTGGCACCGTTACACTTTTAGCTGCATTAATTATTTTTGGTTTTCATATTGTTATTGAACATTAAAAAGAATAATTTTTTTTAAATTATATTTATTAAATGTGATTTGTATGAAAAATGAATAAAAAAAAAGAAAAACCATACATAAATTACCGTAAATCTAACATTTGAGTGCTTAAAAATAATCCCAATAATGAAATGTATATTTTTCTACTCTAATTAGAGTTAAAAAGAAAATATTCTTAAATAACATTTTCACTACCATTAATGTTAATTAAGATCAGTTGTAAATTGTTAATATATATCAATTACATCAGCGCTTAATGTTTTTTTTTTTTTTTTTTAACTTAATTCTTTATTTAGCAATCTATTACAAATTAGAACAATAAGCTTATTTGATATAATAATAAAACAACAGGAATGACGAAGTGAAGAGACCTCCCATTGGAGGAGTCAGCGCTTAATGTAAATACTTTTTTTTTTTTTAATTAACTTCTTATTAACAGAAGTTAAGTTAAATTAACGATATTTTTTAACTTAATTTATATAACTTTCATGTGAATTAACTTAATTGTTAACTTAATTGAATATGAACTCATTGAACTTAACTGAGTTAACAAATATTATTAATTTGCCCAGCCTTGCATTTTTATACTAAAATAATAAAATAAATTATTTAATATATTGAAATATAAATATATTTGTTCTGTTCAATTGTGTTCTATATTGAGTAATAAAAACAAATGCATAATAAACTGAAAAGTATATAACTGACAATAAGTCTAAATTAGTGGTAGATAATTAAGCCAATTAAATATACTAACAAGAGTCTTAAAATATAATTAAAACTATTATAATAATACAAAAATTGTTCATGCGAGCCTTTAAACTGTATATAATGCAATTTGGTATAAAACTGTAGTGTATATATTACAATAAAATGAATCAATTTGATTTCATATATTCTGATAATATATTAGAAAAATATTGGTGAGAATCATTTTATCATAAATAATAATATAATATATAATTTTAAAGTATTGTAATGAGGTATCATTAAAGTTCTTTATTAGTTATAGATTCAGCAGAAGTGTCGCCACTAAAGGCTGATAGCACTAAACTGAAGAGAAGCCGTACAAGATTACATAAAAATAGAACAACTGCTATGATTGTATCTGACCAGCTAAATATGGTCCATAATAATAAACCAAACAACACAATTTTGGCTATTATATCAACGACATACATTCTGAAACAAAACAAATAAATATATGACTCTTAGTATTTACAATGTTAGTTTTTATTTTAATTTAAATAATGTAGTTTGTAAGCCGTTAGGTAATTGTCAAAATACAATGTTGATATATAACATCATATATATATATGTACTTAAAACTTAATGGCGATTCGTGTGGACCACATAAAGTGGTACACAAATAATTTCTGAGATACCTATGTAGAAGGGTAAAAAAATATTAATTTTGTTTTAGGTATAGGTACATACAATGTACTTATCAACATTTTATTTTCGTGAGCTATCCAAGCTCTTCGTCACAGTAAAATAAAAATAAATTAGAAAAAATAACTTATTATATATGAAACATAAACTCGAAATCTCGTTTACACGACCGATGCGATACGTGAAACGATAAAAATAAGACCGTTGCACACAATGGTTGTGCTTCAAAGGACCATATATTACTAACTGACATGTCTACGCATGTAAGTAATTACATGCGTAATTTATACGGTCACCCGGAGCACAACGAATGTGTACTCTGTTCATTATTTAATCACCAATAGATACACTTCTCAACACGAAAAGTTGCGAAAACTGGTTTTTTTTTTTAAATTTTTTTGTTAATTACAGACTGTGTAATGCAACTGTGTATATACATGTGATAACCAATTATAATTTATTATAGGAATCAAATAATTTTTATATAATTTTTTTGGGTGGCTCACTTGCTCCTATGCACCATAGCACGATCCGCCACTGTTTAAACAAACTATAAATAATTATTTTATACTCAAAAAATAACTGAGTTTTAGAAAAATTATATTTATAATTCAGATAAGTAAGTAAAATTAATATAATAATAAATTATAACCGTTATTGTTATTATATTTAACTATACGGTTAACTTACATTTTCATATGAGTTCTAGCTCTAGGTAGTGTGTCTGGCGTTTCTTTTAGAATATAAATACGAGCGGCCATAATACAATCCCTGAAGTAACTTCTAATATTCATGTCATTTCCATCAACCTTGTAATCGAACTTTTCACGTTCATTCATAATTCTTCTCAAGTAATGAACATGTTCGTTTCTGAATTCCCACTGATTGTTCGCATAGTATTCAAACACCTCGAAACCTTTATTGATTCTGTCTTGAATACGCACCAAACTACGGAAAAAGCGTTTAAGTATTTAAATTATTTGTTTAATACTTTAAAACTAACTCATCATGATTAGTTCGTATTCCGCGAAATAATTGCCGATTCAAAACAACCTGACATTTCGAAAGATTTTCATCAAGTAAATAATATGTAAAAATATGTTTCATTAAGTTATGAAACTATTACTTCTAATTATAGTAAATATTATCATAACGTTGAGTAATATCTTACCATGGTTTGTTACCGGACATATAAATTATTGCATCCAAAAAGTAAGCCGGAATAATGTGTAAAAAGAATACACATATGTTATGGACGAGCTTACTGCTTTTCATACTGCCTCCAGGATACCACACTGCGCCGTTTAATGGTACTTCAGTAGTAACAATGCTTTTTCCTATATCAATTATTTCTTGCCATGTTACTCTCCATTCTTGACTGGAAGTCAAGTGACAAATAACCCTGGATTTGTCGCTAAAATAATAATAACAGTAATAATATTAGAATATATAGTATTGGTATTCGGAAATATGAGTAATTACCTAAAACTGTGCAAGATAACGTGGAAAAATACATGTTACAAATTATATATATATATTAATAACAAGAGTTATTAATTGATGGTAACTGTATGTTAATATTATATTATAGTTAAGGATCTGAGCAAAGCAAATATTTTATAGAATGTACTTTTAATATGAATTAATTTTTATAACTACTTAAATATAAAAACCTCACACAACATATTATCGGTGCACTCTAAGAATGAATCTGTTAAAACACGTAGGTAGTCACTGATACGAAAAGATCAATTTAAAAACCGACAACTGTTGATAATATAAGCAAACAGAGTATAAAAAGACCAGTAGTAAATGGAACTGTAATTCAATCGGTCGGGTGAAAGAGAAACTATAAATTATGTCGAGAAACCGGTGTAATAAATATTTTGAAAGTTAATATTCTTTTATTTCGCGTATAATAAAAAAAAAAAAAAAAAGAAAGAACATGAAGGTAATGAATGAATAGAAAAAATAGAACGACAAGCATTCCTGAAGACGGATACGAAAGTACGTACACCATGTGTCCTACGGAAATATGATTGAAACGTAATCTAAAAATGTTCGTATCTTTTCGTGGGACATCCAAGTGCACAGAGGAAACATTCGAATTCCATACGGTGCTTTTACGGTGTTCCGTCGGGGGGAAAAAAAAAATACGTCAACGTCAGCTCACTTGTTGCCTATGTAGTTCCACGTGAGCAGTATTATGCCGTTGACGGTTATGTCGACGGGCAGATAATCGGCGTAACCATTGTTGTCGCAGTACATGGTGCGTATGACTCCTTTGCCGGCACCGATCAGCAAGCCCGTCGGCCCGTTGATGTTGTCCGTCCAACCCGGCAGAGGCTCCTTCCAGATGGGTATCACTGTAACAACAAAATCGAACGTGAGAAACGGTTTCCGAACATGATTGACGGCCGTGACGGATTGCACGTCACCGCTGGGAAAACACTGACCAATGGACGGGCGAGCAATCACGCAAGGCATTCCGGCATCCATTTGTTCCACGACCAGATGTTCGGACAGACATTTCGTAAACGCGTACGAGTTCGGGAAACTGCCCAGAATTCTATAACGAAAAACCGAACAGTGGTCAGAGAATACGTAATACATAAGACAGGGATGACAAATCAATGGCACGCTAAAAGATTTTGAGAGCACGCGAAAAATTAAAATATTTTTACTATAGTAAAAATTATTATTTAGACACATTGTCATTAGAAAAATTCAACTTAAAAATGTTTGAATGATTGCATTTAGATGATTTTGAAATGCAGCTTGTAGATTTTCGATCAAGTACCATATGGAAAGAAAAATTAGTTTTACTGAGAAATGAGTTAGAAGAAATTCAGTGTGATAGGAAGATAGGCAAATTGATCGTAAACATAGGGAACAAGATTTTAAAAGTGTGGAATGAAATTCCAAAAGATTATTCAACTTTAAAAATAGTAGCATTAGCTATTTGTCTATTTTTTCTTCAACTTATTCATGTGAGTCACTGTTTTCAGAAATATGATTTTATAAAATCTGATTTAAGAAACTGACTAACTAATGAATGCAGTTCCGCATGTATTTTATTAAAAGTTACTAATTATAAGGAAAATATCAACGAATCGGCATCAAGTATTCAACAACAAAAGTCACATTAAAATAAATAATTAACAAAGTAATATTATTATAATTGTATGTACCTAAACTAACTATTTTTATACCTACTAATACATTAATTATATAATTAAATTATGTTCAAAAGGTTTGCCACCGCTGACATAAGGCATATCATTATTGGTCGGTTTCGTCCGGCGGGTCCGGGCTTTATCGGGGAGACAAAGGGAGGATCGATGGGTGTGGTTCGGAGGGAGGGGGGAGGGGGGTATCCGTTCGTCGACCGCGCGTGCATATTAAACTGTTAAAATAAAAGGCAACAAACACGTCGGACGTTCGACGAGGTACCGACCGCTGTGCAGAGCTGGCCAAACCTATCGAGTCGCCACCCACGACAAAAAACAAGTGACCTACTGTTTGGATATGGTTTCAACGAAAGGTTCGTCCAACAGTTCCATGCTCTGGATAATCTTGTGCGGGTCGACCGGCGGAGGATACGCTTTTTCGAACAACACTTTCTCGTCCAAGTGGCAGTACGATGTCGACACGTGCACGAACAGCTGCGCGGGGAAAAATCAGTATTATAAATCAGGCGCCGCACGTTTCGATTAATCGTCCGACGAAGGTTTAGATGACGCGGAAAACGAGCGGTTTGTGTACCTCTAATTTTTTCATCTCCCGTGCCAGTTCCAGTACCAATTTCGTTCCTCTGGTGTTGAGTATGACGGCTTTCTTTAGCGCTTCGTCGAAACGAATGGTGGCTGCCCCGTGATAAACGATGTTCACGGAGTCTGCTAGCAAACGGCGGTCCGATTCGCTGATGGCCAGATTCGGTTCACTCACATCACCGGCTATCGGATACACTTTGTCGAATACCTCCTTACCTCGTAACTCTTTCAAATAGTCGAATAACTAAAAACATACACGTATAAATCGTAGTGTATTAATCTGTAACGGTGATACATGTATCTGTCATTCATGTATCTGCATGATTTACTTTGTCGATCGTACACGTATATAATTTTACAATCCACTACCAAAGGGATATGATTTTATGTTAAACTATGTTACACCGGCGTCCATTTTAGTAAATAATATTCAAAATATTATATTTTTTTTCTATTTATTCGTATAAATCTGTTTCGAATTGGTTAGTAAAACTCATTCGAATGCTAACGATATTTTTCCGTTAATTATTATTATAATCAAATAAAAAAAAATTTCGAAAACACTGATTGGGAACGGAATAATTTTAATTGATTAGACTCTATTCAAAATATGTTTTGGAGCACATTTACGATAGCTAATAAAAACCTTTAGTAAAACATGTACATTATTTGTTTCACTAATATTTTTAAATAAATAATTATAAAAAACATCTTGTTACGCATATTCTTACAATAATTTGTAACTAACAACATTGTAATGTTCATTAAACGATAATATGTCTAATATATGAATGTATGAGAATTATTCTTTAAATTACTTTTAATTACAGTAGGATGATTGAGCAAAATTGAAATGTTTCGTCACACTATCCGATTTTTTAAACGTTAAAGATTAAATAACATTGTAGTTATTTTTATTTATCTATTTCATCTTCAAAAAATCAACACATTATTAGCTTTTTGATTTTTTCAACAAATATTATTATCTTGGTGTAAGTAATTAGAAAAAACGATAGTAATATCTTTACATTAATACTCACAAATCATAGTAATGACGTATTTTATTTTGGAAATATTAAGATTTACCCAAAACGTTTATATTTCTTTTAATAAAAGTTATTTTTATGCATTTAATTTTATTTTTGCGTTTAAAAATTATAAAAACTTATTATTTTTTGAAATAATAGAATTCTTGAAATAAATAGGGTAATTATTTAAACGAATAAAATATTTTGTTTAATGAGAAGAATTAAAATATCAGTACCTAATGTAGTTTGTTCAATATAAAAACTAAAAATATTCAATGATGTTATTTTGTTAATAGTATACATTATAAAATAGTACTTATAGTAACATTAATAAAAAATAATTAATATATAATAATGGTTTCTAAATATTTGATTAAAAATTAAATAATGATATAATAAACTTACCACTGATGAAAATATAGTTTCTAGTCTTTGTTTAGGATGGCTTCCTTTTTTGGGCCGAAGTAACAAATAAATTCTTTCGATGCCCGGACATTTCCTTAAAAGTTTCTCAACTAAAACTTTTCCAAGAAATCCTGATCCTCCGGTAATAAATAATGTTTTACCAACAAAAGTCTCACCCACACGATCTGGTATGTGTTTTAATTCTTCTGGGAGCACCGGTGGTTTGAAATTCAAGAAATTTTCTTCGAACTTTACCATTTCTAAAATATAAGAAATAATAATAACAATAATAATAATAATAATAATAATAATAGCAATAATTTTTTAATGATGAGTTAACAAATAAAACACGATTTAGTTGGACTAGCTATGTTTTCTATGTTTTAAGAAAGAAGTAGTATGAATGATGAGCAAATAAATATTTTGTCTGTCATCTTTTAAATATTGCGAAATTCGACGGAGGGAATATGGAGAAGGGCACTCTTGTAAAATCATTATCAAGGTTTTTTTGATTTTGATTTCAAGGTTTTGGATATTATGTAGTAACAAAAATACGTACATCAAGAAATTGTCTTATGATTTAAATCCTATCATTATTCTTGTTTTTGATATGTCATATTTTACATAAGTAATTGTTAAACAACCACAATTATAATGAAGATACAAATCAAATAACAATGGGAAATCATGAACTAAATTATACTATGATTTAGTGACATAAAGACAGTTCATCATCGTTTAACTAGAGTTTTTTTTACGTATAATCATTACAAGAAAAATAACAACTTATGGAGAGCATAAAACCAAACGAAATATTTTTTTGAATTACTATCAAAGCAACTCAATATAAATAATATTGTCATACACTTTAAAAGAATTACATGGCTCATATGTTAAACATCTATAAGAGTATCATATTTTATATTTTTTAAATTATTTAGACTCTAAATTTTAGAGAACAAAATATAAAAAAAATATTAATTAATAAATATATTTTATATAGAAAATTTAACATTGTATAGAAATATGAAATTATTAAGTTATCAAGTATAAAATTTAATTTTTAACTTGAAATAAATTGTTATAAATTATAAAAATAATAAATGATGAAGAATACATTATTTTTTTTTATTATTTTTATATTTTTTTTTACTAAATTTTTAAAATGCCAAAAAATATTTTCTTTAAATGTTTAATACTAAATCGGTAGAATTTTTCCTTATTTTACAACGATGTAATGTTTATTTTTATTTATAATAATACAAAATTAATTGACAATTGTTTGAAACATCTAAAAAGTTATAATCATGGACGTCACGAGAGGGATCAAGGGGGTGTACTTGCACCACCTTAATTTAAAAAAAAATATAACATTTAAAAATGTAGAATAGAAGCTATCATTATCACTATCGGATTTTAGAGTAGTCAGCTTTACTTTGTAGCCATCGAAAAAAACTAAAATAATTTAATATTGTTATAAAATTTAAAAAAAAAAATATTCCTATGTATTTAACTTAAATGATTTAAAAATTATATAGAAACCAGTGTACATACTTTGCTTGATGTATTTATTCCCCTGACGAAATTTCTGGCAAAGTCTATGGTTACGATGAAAGATATATATTTATATACACAATTATATTTTAATTGAAATTGAAATAAAAAATATAAATTAACAAACAAAATTGAGCTTATTACACTCGTGGAATGGTTACAGACACCATATAAATCATTATTATGTCTACCTAATGACCAGTAAATAACATTAATCCGTATCCGGTAACACGTTGTTTACGTATATACGTAATACGTTGTATAATAACTGATCATGTTTTATTATAATTTAACGTTTTTAACAAACTTTCTCCAATTCTTAGTACACGAGTATATATCGGACAAAAAGGAAAGAAGAAAAATATGATGTATAAGTATGATACATAACAGTTATAGTGCAACAGACTGAAACATATCCACTGACATTGGACTAAATTAAAAGTGTTTCGCAGAAACCACTGACACGAGATTGCATAATTGATAAGTATAAATTACATTAAAAATTGAAATTCGAAATTAGATTACATTTGATTGAAATGAATTCTATCAATTAGTTAGTATTTCGATGGCTACCGTGCATATATTTTTGTAGTCTATTCTAAAATGAAACTAATAACATTTTTAAAGTAAATAAAAAGTAATACTTTAATAAGTTGTGTAAATAATAAAATAGTATACAAATAATTATGTTTTTGATACCTAAACTCAAAAAAATTTTTTTGTACAAAGTTATATAATGTTTGTATGAAACGGTTGACATTTTTTTATCTATAAAAATAGTCATACGAAAGAAAATCAAATTATTAGTACTTCATTTTGTAGTAAATTATTTTAAAGATATTTCATAACTACAAAGTTTATTTAACATCAGAATAAACATGAATCAATACTTAAATAACTATACATTTTATATGTTTGGACCTAACTAGATAAAACATTTTCGGAAAATTAATGATAAAACAAATAATCTACTCATCAACATGATATTAAATACTTAGATAAGTTTCATAATGCTCAAATCCCAAAATGTATAAAGATTATCGTGATCTACTTAATTATTTCTTAAACCAGTAATGATTAAAAACTAAAAATAATTATCATAAATAATTTATATCCACTTCATCGTACACCTAATCGTTCAAGTTTTCAAGTCTGATAATTTCCGAAACACACAATAGTAGTGTACAATTGTTAAGCTTTAATAAACAACTATTAATATAAATATGTTTTATTTCTATTTATTAACCCTCATCATAATTTATTGGTATAATAAATAATATTCTATAAACTTAGTATAGCATCTATATTAATATAAATGCACTAAGAATATAATTCATTTTACCAAACTTTAAATAGTTCAAATAATATTTTCAATTTTTAAAAGGCATCAAAATATGCAAGGCTATAAGTAATTACATTTTCTTGAGTATGATGATGCCAATTTATTCGGTTTATACTGGAATTATAAATTTATTTTTTAACATTTTAACAATCCTATTGATAGTAAGGAATAGTTTTCCGTTATTGATAAAAACTATTAGTTATGCAGGTAACTATGAATATTTAATATGTTCTTTTCCATTGATACATTTAAGATTTTTTAATAAATATACACTATGGGGGTATACGAATTTTATTATTCAATATTGAATAATATTTTCTACTTATTTAACAAGTTGGAAAAAAATACAGCCATTAGTGTAACAATAAAGGAAATATATTATATACATTATACCTAATTTTACATCGAACAAACAAATCAATAAAGTACCCGTATAGATTGAAACGGCATACCAAATAAATAACACTTAAAGAATATTTTACTCAAAATTAATAACAATTTCTCAGTGGGTTTTAAAAATATTTCATTCCTCACTAATAAATTAGGTATTATTATTATAATTATTATAATTATTATAATTATTATAATTATTATAATTATTATTATATTATTATTATTATTATAATAATAATTATTATTATTATAATTATTATATTATTATTATTGTCTAGTCGACAATTCTTCGATATTTGAACTCACTTTCGAGTAGTAATTTAGTAATTAACACATATTGAATATATTAGTATTACAAAACGACTAAAAATTAAAATTTGTCAATATTTGTTACCAGGACACAAGAGTGCTTAAATATTGTGTTAGTTCGTCACAATTCTTATATTACATAATACAGCGAGAAAAATACTATAATTGTTTTATACACTTGTTTGTATCTAATAACAATTTTGAAAACAGGGCATGACATGCTACACATAATCACATACTCATTATCACTTGTAAATGTTCCTAATATCTACAATTATTGGTTCTGTTGTATAATGTACAGCGTTGAGCGGGTACAGTGATATGACAACTATACCAAAATGTGCATACGCACCGTTGCTAATCGGTACTTAATCTATCATTTCGAAAAATAAATCGTGAAAGTTTCGTTGCATAGCATTAATCACGGCTACGTACGAGATAATTTCCTAATCACTATTTTAAATTCAGTAACTTTGATTAATTACCAACTTTGATTTACGATCGACATGAACATAACCACCACTCTACTGCTCTACTTGGTCGTATTACGCGATGTATTAGTGAAAAACATTATCCACGTGTGTTGTGAAGTAGTTAGTATTTCCGAACTTGGAGTCAGCCACTCCAAGTCTCAAGTCAAAGACTCAAATTGAGTATCCACCTTGCCAGCTGTTCTTACGGCAAAAAATTCATAAGTATCAGAATGGCTATTAACTGTTCGAATTTTTATACCTCTAATCAAATCCATATAGCCCAGTCATACTTGCAAAACATGAAATCGTTTTAAATAACGCCTACACTCTAATCTCAAAAATAATTGCAACCCCTTGATTTCTGAACTATCCTTCGACACTATTCCTAGTGACCCCTGAAGGTGTTTAAACGGAACTTTTTAAACTTAAAAACCTCATATTTTATCCTCTTTATTATTTAAATTCTTTTCTCTCTTCTAAACTTATTAAAAAAAAAATCCTGTCCTGAAGTGCCTCCAATGGATGATTTCTTAACAGAAATCACTAAAGCTATGTTATACCACTACCACCAAAACATATACCTATTGTAAATAATAACTACAGATAATAATAAAAAAAAAAAATCGTTTTAAAGTATATAATATACTATTTTTTTTTTTTACGTCGATCCGGCCTATAGTGAATGTTTTAGTTGTTGAAATATTATTGTATAATTGTATGTACATTATTATAACATTATATTTTTAATTATGTCACAATAATAACGATCCATTAATTTTATTATGTAGGTTATGGGATTTTAAAAAGATATAAAAAACTGGTAGCTAAAATCCTACACAATGATTATAGATCATTTTTATTGTAGATCATTTACCACCTATTCTAAGAAATTTCAATACAATAACAGAGACCGAGAAACCATCAGATACCTGTTATACCTTGATGCTGAGTAGAAGACCTTCAGTTATATAATTTTATTAGACACACACGGTTTCGACAGAAATTTCTATTAAATGTTACCAGTACAGGTTTCATTATATCTCAATTATACAAAAAACATTACCTTAAATATTCATATTCAATTCGGAAAAATATATTTCAGTTATGTATTGAATTTTTATCAATAGTATAAACTGATTATATATTTATACAATTCAAAAACTAAATTAAAGTTGATTAAACTCTGTATTAAAACCATATTAATAAAACATTAATAATTGTTAATTCTTATTTAAAAAAAAATAATGAATAATCATCGTTATCATATTATTTACGTTAGTCTATTCTTAAATCGATTAATTATAGGATTATTTATGTATTATTTAATTTAAAATTTTCAAAATATTTAATAAAATATTCATATTAATTTTAAATTATTTTATTTCATAATATAGAGTAAGTGTAATTTTTATGTTTTGGTATGTTGTAAAAGACTTTTTATAGAAAATGATAATTTATGAAAGCTAAGATAATATCTTAAATAATTATTAAGTATCTTTAAAATCACAAAATAAATATTTTTGTTCTGTGAAACAAATAAATCTGAATCGTTATTGTATAATGACGAAAAAACGATGAAAACTCGTAATAAAAAAATATTACATTCTTTTTACTCTTCCAAATACATTTTTATTGTACTGATATGTTCTAATATTCAACACTTAGAAATTCAAAGCCTAGTTTATCTTTAACTATAATTTATAAAGCAAAATATCTTATGATAAAGTGATATTTTGCTTTCTAATTTTGCTCACTTTACAATTATTACATAATTTTATTTGCAAATACATTTTATGGTTCCTTGTAGTGTAAATTGTACAGTTTATAGAATACGATAGACCTCAAATTAGTTATTTAAACCTCAAGACATACATAATATATATCATTAATATTAATTATGTTAATCATTGTTTAGCTAAAAAAAAAAATTAATATCCTGATATTGTATTCGCGAATAGTTTTTGGTGAATTTTTGTATAGCTACACTTTCTAAAATGAAATTAACCATTATGATATTTGTTGTCTTTGTTTATAATATTCCTGCATACCATAAAAATAAATACAATCTGTAGAATATAGGTACATCATTAATTAAATTCACATCAACTGACGTCAATATTAATTAACTTAGAAAATATTTTATGTAGTATATGGTCTATAATATTTATACTGTATAAACATTTATTCGAAAAAAATTTATGATTTAAAATTATTTTTGAAATAGGTACGAGTTAAACTATTAAATTTACGTAAAATTGACGTATCTATATTTCACAGATAATAGTTTTATTTTAAAATTTTACGTCGAATAAAATTTTAAAATTGATTTTTATCGACTAATAAGATATATTCGCAATGTTCTTGTTTTGCTAAATAAATACAACAAATATGGAGAACAGATATTATGTCGGGATAAGATCTTAGATAATTGTAGATAATTTTTACTTAAACTGTTAAACCAGAGTGGTTGTAATCGATTTCAATATAAATCGTTATGTGGGTTCCAAAAGTAATATTTAATTTCTTGTGTGTAATATTTGAAAAATTATTTCCGAATAAATACATAATTTTTTTTAGACAGAACATTAAAATATTATTTTAAGAAAATGTAAACATAAATAATTGATCAATAAGTGATAAGCCAATTTGATTTTGACCTTAAAGTAGTGTCATTGAACTACTTATTGGTTTATATAACATGACTGGCTATAAATACATTGCCGATGACAATAATAATTCCAATGAAATCCCTACGAAATCAACATCGCAGTATGTAATGTAAAATCATTTTCTAGTTGTTATTTTATAATATCTATACACATTGCTTACAGTAAGTATGTTTAATAATCGCAAAGAGTTATAGAATGAAGTATGTATTATATCTGTTAATAAAAAATTAACCAGTATTAATAATAATTTACAATCTGCACAAAAATAATAATGAAATGTATGTATAAATAATTGTTACAAATTCCTTGTTGGCTGTTCTGTATAAAAAAATCTTTTAATATGAATAAGTAAGATATATATTTTAGTTTTCTTTACTTTATAACTAATAATATACTAAAATAAAAGAAATGTTGATTCATTTAAATAAAATTACACAATATTAGTTTATTTAAATTTAATCCTTTAGATATTTTTTAGATTAGGTATACTAGTTCAAATAGTATTTTTTTTTATATTATATTTGATTACACTACGCTTAATAAAAAAGAAACTATATAAAATATTTGTTTTTCTTTTTTTTCAAGACAAACTAAAATATTTTAATAATTTTAATATAATCAATATTTTTATGAAAAGTATTAGAAAAAAATAACTCCATAATTTCTTTATAAATAAAATAAAATAATTAATAAATATTTAAAGTACATTTACAAAAACAAGGCATATTTAAAAATAATTTTAGAATGATATTTCTTATAATATTTTTTTAAGAATGTTTGAATATCTTTAGTTCATTTATGACATCACGACAATTAAACATTGCGACTTTCACAATCATATTTCTAAAATAAAAACTAAGTATATACAATATAATATTAATGTTTTATTTTCTCTAATATTGGTATAATAATTGAAAGATATATTATTTTATTTTTTTATTTTTTTTAATTTGCCTCTGTTCGTACATTACAGCAGATATTTTATTAAATTCCTTTTTTCAATCAATTATTTTTTTATTTAAAACTAATAAATCTTTTAAAATTTATATTTAATAAATAATAATAATTTTTTATTAATAAAAAATTTTAGAAATTTATTATGCTTTCAAAAGTTTAGTAGAATTCTTATAAATTAATAATAATTTAATTCTAATTATAGTGCATCATATGACTTTTGATGTATAAATTAATTTTAGACAATTTACAGTAATATAAGATAAATTCATAACCGTACTAAGTAATATTTCGTTTATTTACGTAGCGTTTTCAATAAATCGTCGAACTAGTTTTTTTACATGACTTTACCTCAAATAAAATATAAAATCAGTGGTTTGGTTATTAAATCATTGATTTGGTCGTAAATCTCAAAGAACAACGAAAACTAATAACACATTAATGTTGACTAGTGAATTTAGTATACACAATATGATTATTCCTAAACGAGTAGAGATACGTGTTTGCTGATCGAACAAAAGTGTAAGATCGGAATAATGTTAATTCGACCAATACCGATTCGCAGGGATTTTCGAAGTTTCACCGAACAAACCGCGATTACCGATCGGTAATACCGAGAAAAATAAATAAATGAAATCACCAAGACGTACCCTCGGCGGTGAGACTGATCATCGCTTGAGACTGCATTTCAACGCCGCGGGCGGTGAAAAGTCACGGTCGTTAGGGTTGACGAGCGTTCGTCTGGTTAGCCGGTGGTCCAAGTCGCGCGCACGTGCCCGTAAGGATTCTGCTTGTTGATGCTGCTGCTGCTGCTGATCCGCCGTTCGATCGGGAAAAATTGCGAGTGATGCTAGTGTGAGCGGCCGCGCGTGTGCAGTTGACCGGATGACTGTCGGTGCACTGCGGGGCCCCGCCGTTGGCGGCAGACGGTGGAGGTGGACACGGTGTTATGCGCGAAAAGAAAGTTGAAATACCGGACGGCCGTGGTACCGCGACGTGCGCGCTCCGTGGTTACCGTGATCGACCGCATGACGAACGCGTACGCGTTCTTTCACTCCGGGTAGGGGTGTACGGGAAGAGGCGAGTCCGTGGACCGACGTTTCCTTCTGCCGGAGACTTGAACGGGTAGGTGTAACGTGTGCGGTGGACACTGTAGAGGTAGGTGCGGACTCGTAGTGAAATAACAGGTCAATCTCGTGTTTGTCCTTATCTTCTCTCTTTCAATTCTTTCTCTCTCATCTCCTTTTTCACCTTTAGCTTTCTCTCCGTCTCCGTCTCTCTCCATCTACACACGCGTGTTTGCTCGTCGGCGATCCGTCTCCCTTTTTCGGTTTCCACCACCAGACCCACGAAACAATACGTAATACGTGCGTCGTGTGTCAGCGGTTACGTAAATCAGCACACCGCAGTGACTAGTAAACGACGTGTAGCGTGACGAAACGCGAAAACTAGGAAGAGTTGTTGTAGAAACACGGTACACGCATGCAACGACGTACCGACGGTTTTACACGTGTACTAATTAGGCGCGCGGCAACCGCGTTTGTGTCTGTCCGATAACGCACGAACGACGGTCAACGGTTATACCTCACGTTCAATACACCCACACGTCGAACATAATAAAACAGCCGAATGTTTAACACACGAGTATTGTCCATACGATAATTATCGTACTTATTATTCATATGTAATACCATAAAATGAAAGTCAAACAACATCGTAGTGATAAATGTACCGTGTTTATTTTTGAAACAAATTTTTCCCAAAAGGACCTTAAATATTTAAATATTTTAAAACCTATCTTTAACGCGCTCTAGAAATATATATATTATTAAATTCTTAAATAAAAATTTTTCTTTTTTTTCGATTATTTATGTTTTTAAATTAATTAATTTAAATTGTTATTCAATGTATATTGTTCGCGTTGGTCGAAATGAAACAAAAGTTAATACAACTTGGAATATTTCGTAATCGTAACGATTTCGTAACCAATGCTAAAAAAAATGAAGACCTATAGAAAATTAATTTCCGTGAAGATAAATGTTTAGTCATATTGTTATAAAACATATAAAATGTTTCTATTCATCTGATTTATAGAAAAAAAAATTGGTTCCAAGTATCTGACTAGGTTTTTTTTATTCTTAATTTCAGTCATATTTTACTTATGGTGTTCAAATTTTGATGGTTATTTTATTTATATAGTCATAGTTAAATAATTGTATTTTGAGTGTATTATGATATAATTTTGTAGTTTTCTTTTTATTGATTTGATTCATTATAAGAATACTACGGATAGGAATTTATTATGTAAAAAGATCATTAAAACATATTTATAGTTGACGTGCCGGTTATCACATCTACAACACGTTCGCATAGTTTCAAAGTCATACATGTAACCATTATGTATTGACACGAATTGCGTTATTTTTCAATAAGAGCATAAGAGTTTAAATAATGGAATAAGAAATAAAATATACCGGATGTGATTGCACACAATAAAATATTTATTATTTATTTACCATTTACCTAAGATTTTTTTTCTAGTATTTAGAATTATTGTTTTTTATAGATGGTTGTATTAATACGTCACAGCTTAAAATTTGAAATTGTAATTTCTATTATTTGGGACCTCTAGTCAGATGGATGCCCTGGGAATGTGCTCCAAGTATCCATAAATTAAAGATGGAACTGACCCTATAAAGTATGTAGGTAATGATATTTATAGATAAGCGTTTTGGATCTGGCCAAATTAATTGGTGTACCATTATATTCACAAACTTTGTTTAATGATTGAAACAATTAAAACTTGTTCAACCGGAAATGTTTGCAAAATGTCTAATCTATACATTAAAATCCATTTTTAATATTGTAAAGATACATAACGAAATTAAATTTTAAGCATATACAGAGTATCCTAGGATGATTCGACTAATGGAATGATTCACGTTCTGTTTATTTTTAATTAATAGGAGATGTTATATATAATATCCTATATCATATCTGGTTATATTTACACTCATTCGTATTACATACGATATACGTACATTTCAACAATTTTAGTCACAAATTTAATAGTAATTAATATAAAATCTAATATGAAAATCATAATTTCAAAAATCCAAGCACATTAAAATGAAAAAATGTATATTATAAAGGGGTATATTGAGCCTGTCTATAATCTACCGAGTAGTAATTTGTGGATAGCTCAAATTATAGAACGGTCATAAATTTTAGGGCCGTTATTTTTTTTTTTTTTTTTATATGATAATGAAAAAAATAATACAAACATTAGTATAACATATAATTTAATTGAATAATTAAACTGTACATTTGGAATATATGTAGTCAAACGGTAGAATTAGAGTACGGTCGTTTCCAAGGTGATTTGTAAAGGCACATTTAATCGCATAAAAATTTGATAACCCAGATAAAATATTAGTTCTTTATTATTTTGCATGAAGGAATAATTTAGAAAAAAATTAAAATAAAATAATGTGTGTAATGTAGCGTACTGTTCTGTATATCGGTACATTTTAATAAGATAAACTAGTGTAAATTGACAAATTTTGAACTTTAAATTATTATAACTATTGTTTATAAAAGTAAGCAAGATTTAAATTAAATTTTCCATAGTATTTATAGTATTTTCATAGTTTTCTTTCCTTTTTTAAGAAAAGTTAAGTTACAATTATGTCAGTTGGAAGGTTTGAAGGATTTTGGCCCACCCTTTCTTTTATATGTACACATTATTAAAATTTTTATTTTTTGTTCGGTATTTATTTTTTAAAAACCCCTCGTCTAGATCAGATGTCACTAATGTCAATGATTTTTTGTCCAATATTCAAAGGTAAAAAAAAATTGGATTTTTAACATTAATTTTTTAATTTATCACAATTACTTAAGCAACAAACAATTTAATATAATTTACTGACGGGTTGCATTATGCAGAGTACATTTGTATATCTTAATATATTTAAGTGATTTAACAAAAACAGCCAACAATTGTAAAAAAAAAAGACATTCATTAAGTAAGCGCAAAATTAATTTGATGAAAGTGGTACCTACCTAATTGGTTAGTTCGTTAATAGGTGGTAATTAATAAACAGGGCTCGGATTTTATAGCATTTATATATTATTATAGAATATGGAAAAATAGCATAGTAATCTACTATGTTCTTATGGTTTAACATTAATGAATTTAAATTATTTAAAACGTATGTTGCATATTTATAGATCTGTCTGCTTTTTTCTCATTATAATAAAAATATGTGCTAAAAACGTAGTATATTTTTCCTTAATTTTAAATTTTAAGGTCTTGTTTACTATAGCATATATAAATAATGCTATATACACTGGTCCCTTTAAATGTATAGCATAATAATAGAGTCAGAAAAAGTATACGGAAAATGCAGGCAATATTTATTTGATTTTGCTTATTTTGATGTATAATTTTTCTATGATTTATATTTATATAATTTGATTTTCTATTTTGGGTACACTTAATTGGTTATAAATGATACAATTTTAATTTAATAATAACTTAACTACGTAATATTAAATTACTAATGTTCATCTGTGAAAAAAATACTGTTTTAGCATATCATAAATACAAATACCTACCTTGTTAAAAAATAATATCCTTAACAGTACATATAATTTACATATATCATATTTTTAACAAGTTTAATTCAATTTAACTATGAAAATTAAAACATTATAAATTAGGTTCTAGTAAATAATACATAAACAATATTCTGTCTATTCTTTTTTTGATATTCAATACATATCTTATATTTGTTACTAATACACCATACAAATATATTTCTGAAATATAATTGACCTACTTCATTAAATATTATATTGATATCTCAAAGTATATTATTAATGTAAATATAATTTCCCAAATTGGATGAACAATTTTCTTCAAATTGCAGTGTACACTATTTGAATGTCACATTTATAAATTGCATAAGTAGGTTTTCTCGGCAGCTCTGCTCTATCAGTGCCGCAACTACAAAATAGGAGGCCCGTGTGCGATAATTATTCTAGACCCCTTCCTAGGATTTATTTTTGTTGAATGTCTTATTTATAAGTATCAATTTTTTTTATGTTTTAAAACACGTTTCACATCAATTAGTGTATGATATATGTATATATATCAAATTAAATACCTACAACTGTTGTATATTATACTTTTCTATATATTTATGTACCTAGTAAATTTATTTAAGTAGTTCAGGTAGGTATATTGTATGTTTACTCAAATACTCAACGGACTTATTGTTAAATAAATATTATATTACTCTAAAATATTATAATATCCTTATCTGAATTTTAAAAAAAGTTTTTTTTATTATAAAATAATAATATAATATCATTAAATAATTGTGTGTTTGTAAAGTGTTGTTTATTTTAGGCTGGGACTAGGGGGCCTCCCAAATGCATGTAAGACTTGGGCCCATTTTTGCGGCACTGTCGGCTATTTCAAATAAGAATAAACGACGAGTGTATTAAAAATATAATGTAACAAAATTACTATTCAAGTGATTTAAGTGATATTATAAATACTAATTAACTTTTAAGTAAAAATCATACCCGTAAAAACTTTTAATTTACTTCGATTATGAACAAGGCCTTGTTAAGGGGGGGGGAGGTCAAAGAGGACAATTGCTTCTGGGCGCCGTAGTTTTTTAAAAGTAAGGGGGCGCCCTTATCTGCACTTAATATGCTACCTGTGCCCAGTGGCCCCGTAGAAAAAATGTTGCACCGGGGCGTTGAAATGTTTGACACGGCTCTGATTATGAATAAGCAAATTAAATTTTTTAAGTTAATCTGGTTATATTGAATATATTATTATTCATACATTACGTACGTATGTTAATTAATTGGGGGTTATAATGATAAAAATCAATTTGTAATTCATGAGAGTAAGTAAGCTATAAATGAAAAC